CTGGCCCTTCTTGGCTATCACACACGCAGTCACACACATTCACAATTACACACATTCACTCACACTCACATTCATACACTCAACATGACCTTAAAAACCCATGAGGGCTTGGGATCTGTCTGAGCATAGCTCCTGGCCCTAAGCTTCCATCTTGGCATTACTCCAGTGAATGTGAAGGATACTGTCCCAACATCCACTCCCCCACCCCATCCCTACTCTCCCCCTTACCCCCTGCCAAGCATGGGGGGGGGGCACTCAGGCCAAGCTCACTGAAGGTGACCACACACAGACATGAAGTCTAGGAAACACAGGTTGGCCACGAGCTGGCCTAATGGCCACCTGGTGTTGACAGCACCTACAGGCGGGTCTCAGCGCCCACCTGTGCTGCTGGGTTCTGGAGGCGCACCTGTGTGGCCTAGGCCAGGACTTCCCATTTGCCCATTTCCTTGTGATGTGCCCTCGAGGTTGCTGTGGTTACCACCCCAGTGTCGAATGGGGGAGGGGCGTGGGGAATGAGGCCTGCAGATGAGTGGATAAATCTAAGCCCTGCTGCCTGAGGCCCGGCCCGCACTCCTATCTTTTTTCCTCCACCCCAGCCCCCCAGGATGGAGCTCCCTGACCTCTGGGCTACACCCTGTCCCCCGCTCCCCACTCCGTAGCCTGCTGGCTCACCGTCACTCAGCAGCAGTTCCACAGGCGCGCTGTCACTGGACCAAGCCTTGTCAGAGTTGTACAGGCTATACCGGCAGGTGTAGAGGCCGCTGGCCAGTGTGTCCGAACTGAAGTACACTCGACCGGGGGTAGTGCTGTACATGCTTACCAGCATTTGGACGTCTCCCCGCCAAAGTTGGAATTGCACGCCGCTCAGGGGCGCCACACAAAGCAAGTCCTTTTTGGTGCCCGGAAGCAGGACAGCTGTGTTCTCATTCTGGATGCTCAGTGTTGGTGGGGGTGGCACCTCTGCAAGGCAGGTGGGAATGACACATCCCCCCAGGACATTGCTGTATGCCCAGCCTCCATACCTTGCTCTCCCTGGCCAGCTCCTATGTAACTATCAAGGCCAGGCAACTATGCAGGTGTCCTGGGACGGAGGGGCGTTCAGCGTGCAGGGCAGAGAGCAGCCTCACCCTCCCAGAGCCTCCACCCCCGGGAAGCCCTCAAGAGCGGTCCTTGCACTCACCCAGCCCTTCAATGTTCACGGTGGCACTGGACTCCGAGAGGTGGCCTGAAGCATGTGTCCGGTAGCTGCAGCTGTAGTTGCCAGCACGGTGGACCAAAAATGTGGCCTTCACGTCCTTTGAGGCCTCGGCCACCTCCAGGAACTCATCATCCCCCTCCCGCCTCAGGAGGAAGGTCACACCCTGTAGTCCCCCACTGCACACCACTGTGGTGTTCAGATGCGGTGTGATCCAGGACACTGGCTTAGCCGAGAGTGAGGGTTGGGGCAGGGACTCTGGAGAATGGGATAAGGAGAGTGGTCAGACTGGACCTGGGTCCTCCTCTCAGGAAAACCAGGTCAGGAATGTGAACAGTTTTGGTAGCATGCAGAATGATTTGGACAGTGGATTGTTGCAGATGCAGTTAGGTTAAAATTTAGTGTCCTAACATTTGATCTCCCTTTTGAGCCATTTTAAGTTTGTTCTAGTTTCTAATATTCTCTACTTTTTTTTTAATCATCTTATTGGGGGCTCATACAATTCTTACCACAATCCATCCTCCATCCATTGTGTCAAGCACATTTGTACATTTGTTGTCCTCATCATTCTGAAAACATTTGCTTTCTACTTGAACCCTTGGTATCAGCTCCTCATTTCCCCCCCTCCCTCCCTGCCTCCCTTCCCTCATGAGCCCCTGATAATTTATAAATTACTATTATTTTGTCATGTCTTATACTGTCTGACGTCTCCCTTCACCCACTTGTCTGTTGTCCATCCCCAAGGGAGGGGATTATATGTAGATCCTTGTAATTGGTCCCCACTATCTAACCCACTTCCTTCCACCCTCCCAGTATCGCCACTCTCACCACTGATCCTGAAGGATGCATCTGTCCTGGATTCCCTGTGTTTCCAGTTCCTATCTGTGCCAGTGTGCATCCTCTGGTCTAGCCAGATTTGTCAGGCAGAATTGGGATCATGATAGTGAGGGGAGGAAGCATTTAGGAACTAGAGGAAAGTTGTATGTTTCATCGTAGCTACACTACACCCTGACTGACTCGTCTCCTCCCCTCAAACATTCAGGAAGGGGATGTCCAGTTGCCTACAGATGGGCTTTGGGTCCCCACTCACACTCCCCCTCATTCACAATGATATGATTTTTTTGTTCTTTGATGCCTGATGCCTGATCCCATCAACACCTCATGATCACACAGGCTGGTGATCTACTTTCTTTTCAATGGAGGTTTTAATCTGTTTTACTTTGTTATTGTTGCTGGGTTTGTTTGTATTATATTTTTCTGTGTATAAAATCCAGGGTGGTTAAATCTATAGAGAAAGTAAGTAGGTTAATGGTTTCTTGGCAGTATGGCAGAGAAAGTTGGGGCGGAGGAATGGGGAGCTAATAACTATGAGTACAAGAATGAAGAAAATGTTCTAAAAATGATTGTGTTGATAATTGTGCAACTCTTCGTGATGGGATTGAACTAGTGGACTGTATGATATGCGAATCATATGCCAGTAAAACTGTTGGGGGGAAAAATCAGGTCAGGAAACTAGGGCAGTGGGGGACATTTATAGGGAGAAGGGGGGCAGGGACTAGCACAAAGAGGAGCAGAAAGCAGGCAGAACCACCCCGCCATCTATGGCGCTTTCCTTTATTGCCCTTTCTCTCAAATTGAAGGTGTGCAGCAGACAAGCCAACGCATTCACTGAGATCGAGTCATGCAGTCTCATGCAATCTTCCAGGACAGAGTAGAACTGCCCCTGGAACTGTGCCGGAGTAGAAAGCCTCCTCTTTCTCCCACGGAGTGGCTGGTGATTTCGAACTGCTGACCTTGGGTTAGCAGCCCAGCATGTAACCACCATGCCAGCCAGGGCTCCTTAAACAAGTCTCTATGGCTCTCTTTATGTCTCTGTGTAATTCACACGATATTCCCAACTTCCTCATCCGGCAATTGAATGCAGCCGATGAAAATCAGATCTAGTGTACGGCACTGCTTCCCGGCTTTTATATGTGCGGAGAAACTGCTCAAACCTGCGTGGCTCCTGCTCTCCCCCTGTTGGTGCTCTCATCTGCGTAGTATCTCTGAGGTCTGCCTGTGTAAGGCCCCTACTGTGGGCCAGGCCTGCCTTACACCTGAGCCTTGGCATGTTGGTGCCTCACAACCTCTGGGGTCAGGTCCACTCAGCTCAGAAAGGAGGTCGATGGAAGGCCAAGAGAGGGAGAGTTAGGGGTGGGCAAGAGAGGTCCCTTCCCAGGTCCTTGCCTCTTGGTCGCTCATCAGGGCCTCTGCTTACCTGCCCCAGACACCTCCACCAGCTGGCTCAGCCCCGTCCACCTGTCGCCCATGCCCGTCCGGCACCTGTAGAGTCCCCGGGTTTCACTGGTCACTGCTCCTAGGACAAAGCGGTACTCCAAGGCCAACACGTTCACAGGTTCCTGGGCCACCCCATCCTTGAAGAGCTGGAAGCCCAGGCTGGCGGTGTAGGCCCGGCACGTCAGGGTCACATTGGCCCAGGGCTCCAGCAGGGATTCAGCCTCCATCCACAGCGTAGGTCGGGTTTCAATAACTGCATAGGGAGGCCGGGGTCAGCATGGGGGTGCAGCCAGGACCAAGGGCTCCCAGCCCCCACCTCTAGTACTCACAGATGGCTGCCATGGTGGCCGGACTCAGGGCAAAGCCTGTGGAGACAACACCTGTGAGGACCCCGCTACTCCCTTCCCGTGCCCTCCCGCAGAAGGGCCCTGGCTGAGGTGTGCCTCACCCCAAATCAGCAGGGAGGCCAGCAGCACAGACATGGTGCCCAGTCTCCGTGCAACAGCCCGGGAATAACTGGAAGGAGTGTCCAGGTTATATAATAGAAGGGTGTTGGGGCGGGGGTGCAGAGCATTGACCTCCTGCTGCTTGTTTGCGCTTCCAGGAAGCCGGGAGGTGACTCCGGGGAGGGCAAAGGGTGTCCCTGGGGATTCACAGTCCCAACACGAATTAACGAGGTTGTTTTGCTGTGTGCCGTTCCTGTAACAGAGCCACAAGTCGGTGACTCCAAAAAGCAGGCATTTCTTCGCTTACAGTTTCGGAGGCTGGAAGTGAGAAGTCAGGGTGGAAGGCCTACTCTTCCTGTTAGAATTCAGGGCACCAGCTATGGTGGAAGACTTTCTCTCTCTGTTAGAAATCAGGGCACCAGCTATGGTGGAAGACTTTCTCTCTCTGTTAGAACCCAGGGCACCAGCTATGGTGGAAGGTCTCTCCATCAGCCATGGGGGAAGGAAGGTCCCTGTCTCTTGTTGACATCTGTGGTCTTGGTGGTCCTTGGAGATCTCCCTGTGCTTCAGCGCCAGTCTTCCCCTTCCAAAGTCCTGCTGGCTCCCAGCTTGTCTTTCTGGATGGTAACCAGACCCCTGTCTCAGCTGCCTTCTCTACCCTTGGATCTGCTGTAGGAGAAATGGCGTGGCTCAAGCCAAGGTCGTACGTCCAGCACGGATCCTGAGCAAACCTAACCTAACCCTCGTTCGCACAACCTAATCCTGCCTCAGGAACAGAAGGGACAAGTCAATCCCAAATGGAACCACTATGCCTCGAGGCCAACATTTCCATCACCTCACGATGGGGAGACCTCCCCGCAGTTCTGGGGATCAGCCCACCCAGGCTGACACACAGTCGATGCATGGCATGTGCCCTGGAGTTGCCTCCTCACAGCCACCCCGTGACAAGGCAGAACTGCCCTGTCTACTTGGCTGTGATCTCTTTCTCCTTTGTTCCTGCAGCCTTTTGATTGGAATGTAATACAGATATCATATCATTCCCTAGTTCAGCCACAGCAAGCAGTTCTGTACAACTGCTACCACAGTCTGTTTCAAAACATTCTCTTTCTTCTTGAACTCCTTGAGATCAGCTCCCTTGACACCCCCACCCTACTCCCACCTTTCCCCACTCTGTCCCCCAGGAACGCTTGTTCTACGTGCTGTCTCTATAGGCTCATCAATCCTGGGTTTCATACCCTGATAAAGAAAGAAACATGTAACAAAAATTCAAGAGGGTGACCCCCAATAACAAACTACATTGGAGCTAAACCCCAATATGGAAAAGAAGGGAAGAAAAGAACACACAGGAAGTGTTGAAAACCCAATCGGGCCCAACGTGCATCCGAGGAGAATCAAGCCACAAGGTTGTAACTGCTCGAGTCAGGTTTCCCCTCTTGATCTTTTGTGGTCGTGGCTCCGATGCTCTCTGGGTGACCAGCCCTCCACAGAGAGGGACATCCTGGAGATGGTTCCCTGTGTGCCTCTCGCATACTTGGCTGTCAGCTCTATGGGGAGCAGATCAGAGGTCTTTCCCTGTGGAGATTGGGGGGTGGGGTGGGTGTCTGTTAGTAACTGAGTGCTTACCTGTGCTACCACCAGGCCCCTTTGAAGGTGTGTCCTCCAGGTTAATCTCCCCATCTCCAGACCCCTGGATTACCCTAGTGGGCAGTGGTCTGGGCAGTAGATGACAGTGATCATGGGGCCGGGATGATGGCCATGGGCAGGTGAGCAGGAGAGCCTGTATCAAAGGCACTGATGTTGTTGGGGACCAGCAGGGCCCTGCCCCCTTCAGACCCAGGTTTGGTCATACGAACCCCCAAAGTCAAGACCCTTGTGGGCCCAGAGGCCCTCCCAGCTGGTCTCTGTCGTCACTGAGTTCAGGCTGGGCACCCCACCGCCCTTGGTCCTGGCTGAGCCACAGCGGCGAGGAACCCCCAAAGAAGGCACTCACTCTGGGCAGAGCCCTCAGCCCGGCCCCACAGTGCCCCGGCTGTCACCTTAACCACAGCACATGGCTGGTCCTTTCTCCCACAGGGCCGCGCAGCTGGCCTGCTCAAACCAGCGCCCTTTCCGTGAGCAGCCGAGCGCTTCATCCCTGTGCCACCAGGGATTCCTGCCAGGACGGGACCCGTGAGCCGCATCTTCGAGTGCACCCTCCCTGCCCTGTCTTCATCCGTGCATGGCACACCTTTCCTGGGCCAGGCCCTCCTGGAGGCCAAGCTGGATGGGGAGCACATGGGTAGCTGGTGTAGAGGACATGGGCCCCAGTGGTGTAGCAGACACTGGGTGCAGAGGGACCTCGTGGAATTGGAGGGGTTGGCAAGGCTTTTCAGGGAGAATTAGATCAGCGGCTGGCGCCTTACACACAGAGGACAGGAACGGCCAGCTAGCACCAGGGCTAGCATGGTAAGAGTGGAAGAGGAGGCCAGGGGCAGAGTGGGGGGGAGATGGGGCCCTGTCATGCTGGGCCTAGTGAGGCCGTGTGGGGACTGAGTGGGATGGGGAGCTGGGGGGTGGGAGTTGTGTGTCCATTTGGTTAGGGTGTGCTTTCTCAGTAGTTTGACATGTAGAGGACTCATTGCTCTTCCATAACCTTGTTATCATCAGGCACCGTCGAGTCAGAGCTGACTCTCAGAGACACCCCCACCCCCACCACGTGCACAATAGCACAAAACCCTGTCCACTCTTACCCCCTCCCCACAGCCAGCCCTGTGCTTGAGCATGTCGCAATAGCCATGGGGTCAGCACATCGCCTTGAGGGCGGGCCTTGTTGCTGCTGACCCTCTCTTTACCAAGCTTGATGTCCTTCTGAGAACACACCCTCAGTGTGGAAGGGGAAGTCCAGCCGTGCTGGCATCTAAGGAGCGCCTCCTGATGTGCTTCTCCCGAGGCAGGTTTTGTCATCCACTTCTCCTCCTCCTCCTCCTTTATGAAGACAACCATGTGAACACATATCTTAGAATGATATTCATCACAAAGGACACTTGAAGGGGGAGGGCTCTTGCCCTCAGCTCCTCACTGTGTGATCATTTCTAGCTGGACACACTTTGCAGCAGAGCAATGGTATTTCCTTTTGGCAGGGTCTGCCCCAGTTGTTCTCTTTTCCTTTTTTTAATTAATAAATCACTTTATGGGGGACTCTTATGATATAACAATCTATACATCCATTATATCAAGCAGACATGTACGGTCATTGGCATCAACAATTTCTAAATGTTGTCTTTCTTCTTGAGCCCTTTCACACCAGCTCCTCTTTTTC